TTGTACATCTCATTGTTACAGTGGGTCAACCTGTATCCTTATTTCAGCATTTTGTTATTTCCTTTTCCCTCTCCAAATTATAAAAATGTATATACAAGACGCAGGGAACTGGAATCAAATACAGTGAAAACAGAGGTTATACCGTGGGGGAAGAACATACAAAAGAAACAAAAAAATCACAAAATATATTATAATTACATTAAAAACAATATCAAGAAAGAGAAAACCACAGGTGTCCTGCTTGAAAGCATGAAGCCTGATTTAGAGACTAATGAGGTGGCCATTGATGCAGATAAGTAAGTAGACAGCATTGGCAAATGGCTTCCAATTTCCCTCTGTTTTGTCCTATGACCTGATTTCCTTTACCAGTGTGTAGGTTTAATAAACCCCTGTGTGGAGTGAGAGCTGGTGGCTCAAGCCTGTAATACTACTTAGGAGATTGAGGTGTGATGAAAGTCTGGTTTGATGCTAGCCTGAGTACACAAATTCAAGAAACATTTTTCTCTAATTAACCAGTAAAAAGCCTTTAGTGGAGGTATGACTCGAATGGTGGAGTGCTAGCTTTGAGTGAAAAAGCTAGATAGATAGAAAGATAGAAAAAGCTTGATAGATAGAAAAAGCTTGACAGATAACCCAAGCTCACAATTTCAAGCCCCAATAGCGGCACCAAGGAACTTAAACAAACAACAATGTGGGGCTGGAAAGGTGGCTCAGTGATAGAGTGCTTGTTTTGCATGCGTGAGGCCCTGGGTTTGATTCCTCAGCACCACATAAGCAGACAAAGCTGGAAGTGGTGCTGTGGCTCAAGTGGTAGAGCACTAGCTTTGAGCTGAAGAGCTGAGGAACAGCGTCCGGGCCCATGACTGACAAAAAACAAACAGTGATAATAATAAACCCAAACCTTGTATCTCCTGATAATAAGAAATTTACTTAAAATTATTTTTTTGTTCAACTTGTTCATACAACTTGTTTTGAAAATAAAACCAGGACAGAAAAAGTTGGTTTTTCCTTAATGATTATTTTTCAAAGTTAAAATTCTTGACTTAAATTCAGTAATCCCATTCTCAGGATGTAGCTTAAATGAAGTCATTCAAAATTTTTTACAGATTTAGCATTAAATGCATTTAAGGATATTTTGCATAAAATAAATTTTAATGACATTATAATCCTCAATGCTTTGGAAACATTAAAATCATTTACAAAATAACAAAATCAGTAAATAAGGAGGTTATACAATTGAGAAGACTATAACAAAAGTATTTCTTAGTTTTATAGCAATTACCAGTTTGGTTTACACTTCACAGAACAAATATTTTCATTTGTAAGATAACTTTATCAACATGTGTAGAGATGTAATAATAAAATCCACCCTCCTGTATAACTTTTATAAGCAAATAAAAAATCAAAAAGTTTATTTTATCAAAGAAATTCTAAGATGATAGTTTTATAATTTTAACTATCATGGTAAATGACTAGTAAGGAATGTATTATTTGCTTGATAGCATTTATGGTAGTCTTCTAGTACTCAGTTGATATACATTACAAACATTCTTCATTATCACACAACAATAACCATATTATTAAGGGTAGTTTCCAATTTTGCTTCTGTAGATATCATTTAGCTTAATCTTGTAAGTAAAATCTTACAAATAAAATTATTAGATTTCCTTAGCAGAACACTTAACAGAATATTGAAAGTCCACTTTTAAAATTATGTGTGTGAGCAACAAATCAAAGAAAGGTTGGACAAATGGGATTGCATAAAGTTGCAGAGCTTCTGCATGGCAAACGACATAGCTAGCAAGATCAATAGAAAGCCCACAGATTGGGAGAAGATCTTTACTAGCCATACAATGGACAAGGGTCTCATATCTAAAATATACTTGGAACTCAAAAAATTAAATCCCCCAACAACAAATCCTCAAAGAAACAACTGCCCAATAAATAAGTGGGCTAAAGACTTAAAGAAAAACTTCTCTGAAGAAGAAAGAAGGATGGCCACTATTGGCCACATGAAGAAATGCTCAACATCCCTAGCCATAAAAGAAATGCAAATCAAAGCAACATTGAGATACCACCTCACTCCAGTTAGAATGGCAAAAATCAAGAAATCTAACAACAGAGGCTGGAGGGGATGTGGACAGAAGGGAACGAACCTTACTTCATTGTTGGTGGGAATGTAAACTTGTTCAACGGCTTTGGAAAGAAGTATGGAGGTTCCTCAAAAGACTTCACATAGAGCTCCCCTATGACCCAGCAATCCCACTTTTGGGCATTTACCCAAATGTTTACAAACAAGACCACACTAAAGCTACCAGCACAACCATGTTTATTGCAGCATTATTTACCATAGCTAAGATATGGACCCAACCCAGATGCCCTTCAGTAGATGAATGGACCAAGAAAATGTGGTATATATACACAATGGAATTCTATGCCTCCATCAGAAAGAATGACATTGCCCCATTTGTTAGGAAATGGAAAAATTTGGAAAAAATTATATTAAGTGAAGTAAGCCAGGCACAAAGAAACACAGGTCCCATGGTTTCCCTTATTTGCAATATCTAGTATATGTATGAGTCAAGCGGAAAAAGTCAGATAATGTGATGTTAGGAAAATGAATCCTAACATAGGTATTTTAATGTTTTTTTTTTCCTTTCATGCATGTGTTTCTAATGCATTTATAAGATTATCTCTTTGTTGCTTTGTATGTCCCTCCCCCACAGTATAACCCCCGCTTTCAATATATTTGATGTCAGTATAACTTATGGAGTAGATGGGGAAAAACAAGTCATTTAAGGATTCAGGTGGACCTGTTGCAACAATGAGAAGTACAAATTGTCATGTCAAAAAGGAGCTTTACAATGTGGGGGGGGGGAGTGGGGAGGGGGGAGGGGGGAGGCTGGGAAGGGAGGTGAAGGGTAAACAAAGGAGGAGGCTGCAATGCTTGGTAAGAAATGTATGCATTATCTTGCCCATGTAATTGTAACCCCTCTGTACAGTATGTTCACAAATAAAATAATATTAAAAAAAAATATGTGTGTGTGGGCTGGGAAGGTGGCTCAGTGGTATAGTGCTTGCCTTGCATGCATGAGGCCCTGGGTTCGATTCTTCAGCACCACATAAGCAAAAACAAAAAAGCCGGAAGTGGCATTGTGGCTCAAGTGGTAGAGCGCTAGCCTTGAGCTGAAGAGCTGAGGGACAGCGCCCAGGCCCAGAGTTCAGGCCCCACAACCGGACCCAAAAAAAAAAAAAAAAGTGTGTGTGTGTGTGTGTGTGTGTGTGTGTGTGTGTGTGTGTGTGTGAAGACTTGAAGTTAGTAGAACTGTATAAAACTGAAGTAAATACTTTTGATTAAATAAAACTTTCATTAAATGGGACTTCAAATTCATAACAAAGTAAGTGATTTTTAGAGTATGTATCTAATGATTTACACAATTATTATACAAAATTTAGCCAATTGCTTACACATCTGGTTACGTAGGGTTACTTAGGCTGTTCAAGTTTCTTTGGGATGCACTCATGTCAATATTAATAAATACAACACAAAGCAATCAGGTCAAAGTTATCTTGACACATTTCCTAATTTAAAATTTTTTTCAGAACATAATAAAGCATTACCCTCTCAAACTTTGGTAATGTCTGATGTATATCAGTTTGCTTCTATGTGTTTATTCTCTATGAGTAATACTGCATTCACTCGTTGTTACTGTTTGAATGTAAGAAGTCCTCCACAGGCTCACTTTGTGTGGCTTTAATATTCAGGTGGAGGTACTATATATACAGCTTAGTCGGAGGAAACTCACTGCATGCATCTGCAAGATACTTTGTTTTTGACCCTCCTGGTCTGTAGACCTGGCTGCCTGGAAATAAACAGCCTCCTCCATCCATTCTACCTGCCATAATGCTCTGCCTCACTTTAGGCCCAAAGCAATGGGTCCAGATGACCATGGATTAAAAACTGAAACTGAGTTAGTGTGAATGATTCCTTCTTAATGCTGATGTCTATGTTTGAATTAACAGTAGTGTACGTACATTTTGTTCCCATGTAATGTCAATAAATTCAATTTGACAAGGTTGTATCCATTACTACCATAATTATCCCAGGCTTTCTTGAATTAGTCGAGTCTAGTCTCTGGCACAGTCTCGATTAATGACAGTGGTATGGTACAATACTTACAGAGGTTTTTCAAGATATACATGACATAAGTGTAGAGAGTTCTATTACCAGAATCTATTAAGCACTTCCTAATGGTTAGTTTTTGATGAGTAAATTGAAATCAAAGGAAAGATGCTATCACTTATGTTCATCTTTTTATGTTATCTCGTATTAAATATTCCTCCATTTCCATTTATAATATGTTAAAATTAGATTTGTTGTCACATAAAATTGTTCTGCTGAGCTCAAAGTAGTAATTAACAACATTCATTTACATATCTAATTTCACTCTTTTTCAATGCTAAATAAAATATTTTCCTAAAAGTATGTTGTTCCCATTGTGTAGTTTCTCTGATTTTTTGTTATCTTGAAGATTTACTAAGAAGAAAAGACAAGCATCTCATATTTATAACTTTATTATTAGTTTAGCAACCAAAATAAAAATAAGTTTTTAAATCAATTATTTCTTTGAGACACTTGTTAAAGTTCTTGATGCCTTTCTAAAAGTTTTGTTTACCAGAGATGAATAAAGTTTCAAGTTTCTCCTTTCCCCTCAAATCTATCTATATTCCAGAACCAGCTTCCTTTTGGGGTATGGGTATGTTCAGGTAAGTAAGGAAGGCAGTTCAGATTGATAAAGCAATACTCCTGGGAAAACACTATTAACATGTATAAAGGGATTTTCTGGCAGTATAAATACTAGCAGGTGCCCTCCTGGAGCCTCAGAGCCTTCTGATGTATATATGCAGGTAGGAGAATTGAATCAGCCCTTTGAGACAGTAATATAATAAAACTGTTTGGGGGACTGACGTTCTCCTAATTTTTCTACTTTCTTGTGGGAATGAGTTGCCAATCTTTTACTTCAGCTGACAGTTTTATACCTCTGAATTCTGACACTTCTGCAACCTTGCCTCTGATAATGCATCACAGTGCTGCCGAATGTCTACCAGTCTCCAACCATGCCACCAACGTGATGTCCACAGGTACTGATTCTCATGGGAGCTTCACTATTGCTGGCCTAGAGATTTCAGGATGGATGTTTTGAATCTTGTTAGAGAATAAGTGCTTTGCATGTTTTATATTTTTCCCCTTCAGCTTAATTTATTTTAGTTACATATTAAGGATATTTAAAAAGCTGAGTTACCTAAGACATCTTTAAAGAAATATTACCTTGGGGAGTCATTTATATTATTATTAGCTTTATTATAATAAAGAAGAGCTATTTTATACATAGTAAATAGTAAGGCTGGATAATTTTAATTTGTAAACTAATAAAAATACTTATGGAAAAGGGGCACAATAAAATAAATATTCTAAAATAATGTTTTAAAAGTGCTACTTCTCAATATTAAAGATTTGTTTGGTTTATAGATTAGATTTATCTAAAAACAGCCATATGTATTATAATAAATACAACTAAATAATTCTCAATTTCATAATAAAAAATAATAAAGTTATATTTTAGCATAATATTAAACTTAGAAAAGCTATAAGAAATAAAACAAACTGAGATAAGTTTTCTGGAAGTCTGAGTTCAGTAGCAACTAAGCTCTAAATACATTTTATGTTTGTTTCAAACCTAACATTATTAAATAAAAATTAAATTTGTTAATTAAAATATATGGTCCCAAAACAACTAAATCTTTTTTCTACTGCATTTGCTTTTTGTGCAAAAGCAAAGTGTTTCACAATTGACTTTCAAAAAACAAAGTCTTGAATTTACTAAGTCCCTTCCATTGGGTAACAATATATTATTTATTTTCCATTAAAGAATTTAATATACCTCAAAGTTAGAAATTAAAAAAGGCAATACATTCAGAAATCAAAATTTGAGTTGACACATTTATATTATAGTTTATAAATTTAAGCTTTATTTTTCCTTATAATGAAGAAGTTTCCAAACATATATACAAGTTTGAAAGGCTGGGAGGTGTGGCTCAAGTGCTAGAACACATGTCAAACATATACACGAGGTCGATAAAAATTTTCCATTAAATTTTAAAGAATCTAGAGATTAGATATTTAGGATTTAGTAAGGTAATTCAATAAAGAAATTTGTTATTATGTAGTAATAATAAGCAATTTAGAAAGATAATTTTGGGTGATATTAGAACATCTTTTAAAAATATAAAGTATTTCAGCTCAAATAAATAAAAGTTGAATATAAAATTATAACCTAAGCATACGTTTAAGTGATAGATTATTTTCTATGTTACAGATGAGGAAAATTACATGTTATTTCTTTAATCTATACATATGAAAACATGTACCCAGCAAAAAAACCCTCAAAATATAAATTAAGGTTATGATCTAGCAAAGTGATATGATTCTGATCTCAAAATTCAGATTATTTATTTAAAAAATAACAATGCATTGATTAAATTAGCCTATCATTTATTAACCTCCTAAAATTGAAGAAACAAAAATAATTTAAACCTTGGAAGTTAGAAAATTTATATCAAGTAAAAGTTCTCATAACACCTAAAAATTGATTTATAATTTTCTATTCACTTATAATTACATACACCTAACCTTTAAGTAAGGAACTAGAAATACTGGTTTTAACAAAAACATTTAAGCACACTAAAATGTGCTGCAGGTTCACTTTTTTAAGGTTAAGTTTTTTAGTGCATTGTAAGATTTTTATGGATAATCATTATATTGAAAAATGACTAGATCTTTCTCAACTATTGGTTATAAAGTAGGAATTTATGCAGATATTTTAAAATTAGAGAGTGCTTTATATACCGACAATGTTTTGCTTTGCTTCCTGTCTTTATTTATGAGATTAAATTTCAATATTTTCAAGAATCCCAATTTAATACTATATGTCAAATCTATCCAAGAAGGTATGATGTTCATGAAAATCCACCAAAACATTCAGCTTTAGAGAAAGTTTAAAAAATAATATATGTGAGAAAATAATGACAGGAAGTTTATTGTCAGTAGTCTTTGTGACTAGTGTGGCAATTTGCATGTGAACCCATAAAAATTCCATGAAGCATCTAACTATGAGTTTATATCTATACAACACATTTCTATGCATATGGTCTTTCAATAAATGATGAACTTTAAAAAATGATCCAATTGGGCTGGGAAGGTGGCTCAGTGGTAGAGCGCTCGCCTTGCATGTTTGAGGCCCTGGGTTCGCTTCCTCAGCACCACATAAGCAGAAAAAAAAAAGCAGGAAGTTGCGCTGTGGCTCAAGTAGTTGAGTGCTAGCCTTGAGCTGAAGAGCTGAGGGGCAGCGCCCAGGCCTAGAGTTCAGGCCCCACGACCGGACAGCCCCCCCACAAAAAAAAATGATCCAACTCCTTTAAACAATTAACTGAGAGTTTAAAAAAAATGAATACCTAGAAACTGATATATTCGTATTGTTTATTTATATTTGATATATATCAAATATATAATTTGGTTTGATGGTGGTAGGGATTAAAGCAGACAAATGGAGAGAGGAAGGTGGATGAATAGTTACAATACTCAATGTACATATGTAAAAATGGGACCATGTAAACTAAGAGGAGGGATGGGTTTGGGATAAATCAGGAGGAGAATGATGGAAGGGATGACACTGATCAAGTTGCACTATACTCATAAACTGACATGTTGAATTAAAACCTCCTTGTACAACTACTTAAAGATAATTAAAAAACACAGAAACGGACGGGAACGGGTAAATAAATGCAGCAAGGGTACTCAATGGACACTATGTTGAAAGTGAACTGTATAACTTGTGGTTGGAATGGGAGGAAAATACTCAGAGATTGAGGAACTGGGTGACACGATCCGAAAGGAAATGTACTCTTTGTCTGACTTATGTCAGACCCCTCTGGTTTTGTTTTTTTTGTAACATTTTCAAATAAAAAAAGAAATCCCTTTATTATTAGAATTTTTGAATCAATCCTGTGCATGCAAAGAATCCTGCAAACCTCATGGTTTCAAAGTCAACATAAACCTATTGGTCAGAGACCCAAGGTTGTTTTTTTTTTTTTTCCAATGCTCTGAATACAGTGGGATTGTTATGAGTGCAAATAACAAGAGAATAGGGGCTCTCTCATTTTCTTTTCAGTGAAGAGAATTTGTGGGGGAAATAAGCAAAAGTACTCTATTCACAAGTCCATTTTGGTATACAATTTTCCAGAGGAAACTTTATATAAAATGATGTTGCACAATGAGAGTTTTACTGTATAGTCAATTTCTTGCAATATCTCTAGCAGATGGAATCTATAAGAATTTTGCTTCTCTCAAAGAGCCAAGATTAAAACTAACTATTCACCTTTTTCAGGAAGGGTACACCCTACCACAAGCCACAATATAGTTAATAAAGGTGACAGTCTATTTTTTGGACTTGTGATTTTGTTGAGACAAACTTTGGTCCCTCCCAAGATTTATCTATACATTAGAAATCTTCTCCAAATGAGAAAAAAAAGAATTGGAATCTAATGTTAACAAATGCATGAATGTGTACTTTTAAAATGAGTTGAATGTGTCTTGAATCCTCATACATTTTCTTACCAGTCCCATCTATTTTGTCTTTGATCCAAACTCCTAAATATCTGTACTCGTATTTCTCGGTGACAATGATGGGAAATGCAGCGACGGGACTTCATTATTCTGTTCCTTCCTGTCATTATGGAAACCAACCATCAACTTACGGTGTGATGGCAGGTAAGAAACATCATCTATACACACAATATGGATTTTTCCTAGGTTTGCTAGAGTGATGACCAGGATAACATGAAATTCTGATCTTTCATTCTTGGAAACTATAGCCTAGGTAACAGGTACCACTTAATGTGATATTCTCTGATGTGTGATGCCCTCAGATACCAGAGAGCTTGTACCTTATTGCCCTAGTTTACACATTCTTGAAATGTGTGTTTCTTTACAATGGCGCTTATCTAATATTACTTTTATATGAATTTCTTACTTTAAGCTACTGGAGGTCACTAGATGGTATAGTGGACTTGAATAATGATGGACTAGCTACTAGAATTATATAGATATTTAAAGTTAAGTAGCTAAAATGAAATAAGTTTTTGCTATATACTAACTGCTCAACATTCCCATGTGTCCAGTGGCTACCATATTAGATGTCAGAGATGTAAAAGGCATTCCTTTCTCACAGTGCCTCTTTAGGATTCTTGGTCCATGAAGACAAATTTAAGACACTGACTAAAAGCTCAGTGGTTTTCAGGGACTTTTAGATAGCTAAGAATTGGCAGACCCTTTTAATTACTTCTGAGTCTAGACTAAGATTTAAATAAATGAAATTATATACTTTTATGGATTGTAAAGCATGATTATTTCAAGTATAACTACCAATTTTCTGATAGTGATTTGAATGTATTGATGGTAGAATATTTAAGGAATGGAAATTCTGACCTGCAATACCACAGTGAGAAAAATGCATTACTTCATTTGAGGGCTTGGCCACATAAAAGATTTTAATGGTTTAATAAAGTATACAATTAGTTTTACAGGAACCTCTTACTTCTTAATTTGTTTTTAAAGAAATACTTTGATCTTATCAATTACTATAGCAGAAAGAGATTTGTCATTAGAAATATTAAACTAAGACTGTATGCAAATGTGTGTACATGTGGATAATGAAAACTTGCTGATAAAGGAATTATATTAGCAAAATCTTTTCTAATTCATATTACAGTGGTATGTAGATAAGAAATGAAACCAAGAACAGCAATCTGCCTATAATTTTAAGATAACATGGAATAAATCATTTAATTCACTAGCCTTGCTTTTTAAAAAAATTGCTTAGTTTGGGTCATTAAAACATTACCATAGAAAGCTTTAGGAAAATAATCACTTCTATATTTTTCCAAGCAACATTTTGAATAAACTAGCATCCTCACTTTTATAGGAAAATGGAGACTGATATTCCTATTGGCTATGTGTATGTTAATCACTATTTTTACTTTTAACTATTAAGAAATAAAGAAAAACAAAGATATTTTTATCTTGATCCTCACTTATTATCTATCTACTTGATAACAGTCCACCTCAGTGAAGAATTACATTCATTATAAGATAGTAAAATATATTGATTTAGCTACTGGAGATGATTTCCTTAACTTTTACAGCATGTTGACTTTGTAGTTAAGAAATGACAAGTACATGGCCAGTTGGTTCTCTTTCATGGAAATAAAAAACAAAACAAAAAACAATCTTCACTCATGGTAACTCCAAGAAACCCAAGAATACCTTTAGCTTCTCTCTAACCCACCATGGAAGACGTCCTTACTACTGACTGAGGCAATGTAAAGATAAAACCAGTCACAGATAGGCAACAAATAATCTCTTGCCCTGTTATATTCAGGTGGTGTTTGCTACTACTTCCTTTCTTACTCAATCAGAGGCCTACTGCCTTAATGAGCAAGCATCTAGCCTCAAGATTCAACCATCCATCTTGCCCCAGGACTAGAACCAACAAGCCATGCTTACACTGAGAGTCAACAGGCAGCTCAGGCTTTCCTGGTATAAGGTTTTGAAAGCAGACATTCAATAAACCCTTTCTCATTAAAAAATAAAATAAAATAAAAAAGGCTAGACACCTATAATCCTAGCTCCTCAGGAAGTTGATATATGAGGATGAGGGTTTGAAGTTAGCCCTGGCAGACAAATCCTCCAGGTTCTTATTTCCAATTAACCAGAAAAAATCTAGAGGTAGAGAAATGGTTCAAGAGGCAGAGTTCCAGTCATGAGTGGAAAAGCTGAGCAAGAACATAAGATCCTAAGTTTAAAAGTTTTGGAGTACGGGGGATGAGGGGAAACAGGCTTGTGATAAAGTCTTTGGACAGACTTCAAAGGCTAGTTTAGTGGTATCATGATCAAGATATTTAATCAAAATTTGCAGGTATTCTTGTAGTCATAAAATTAAATATGTTTTGTCACTGGAAGAAAAACTGTGCAAGCATAGAGGTTTTATTTGAATATTTCTAAGAGAGATATCATTAAAATGTGATATGGTTTATCATTTGTCAGAATGTCTATATTTTAGATATATCCAGCATTAGCATTTACTTTACAGCAGATTAAATCTTAGAGAATCTGAATTTTCTTCCCTTCATCCCCAGAGAGACTATACAAATTGAGTTATAAAATAGAGGAATTTGGAACTGAGAGTGAAAAGGAATAAATGCACAATGGGAACCTGGTTATGCCATTTGAATTTTTCAGAGAAGTCTCAAGACTTTAATCAAATCAGCCACTTCCATACAATCCACAGAAGCATTTTATCAGCAGTGAAGACAGGTTTAGTGTCACGTACTTTATACAAAAGCAAAGCTACAGAACAATATTTCAAAGCCTGTGAAATTACTATTTTAATATAGGTATTTTATTACCCACATTCTCATGCTTTCATTTGAACCTTTCATTAAATTAACTCACAGGAAAAGAAGTGTGGGAGATCCTATTTTGTCATGTTGGTTGGGGGAATTTTAATCATCAAATGAATTTACTATGCCTTATGAACTAGGTACCAGCAGAATAAGAGAATGACTGATTGGGAGTAATGAATTAGTCCTGCTATGAACTAATCACTAACCTTGTTCAAGTTGCTTAGCACCTCTGTGTTTCAGTCTCCCATCTTAAGTTTTGGTGGCTGCTACAATTCTACCAGATTTAAGTTACAGGCAATCTGCGCCAAGTCAACCTGATTTCTCTTTAGACCTTCACTTTGGAGAGACTTGTGACTAGATTCCTTCTTCTGTCCCTCCACTCTTGAGAATTTACATAATGTAGAACTACAGGACAAACAGCAGGAAACGGAATTATGAGTGTTCTTCAAATTCTGTTACATGTGTGCAAGACAAAAGAAACTATCAACAAAAATCCTCACCATTCTGAGTTGGGGCTAAGTGAGATTTCCCATGTCAAAAGCAAGATGACATTTTGGTGACAGGCTGAGTGGGTTTGCACTGTTTCTTCACTTTGCAGGGGCTTATAAGCATGTTGGCCTCACAGGAAGCATGTTGGCCTCCATGTCAAATTTGGCATGGATTCAGAATGGCCAAATGCAGAAGTAGAGTCAGAGTCTTTAGTATTACAATGGCATTGTAAGATGAAAGATGGAATTAATGGGAATTAACCAAGAGGATGGAAGTTAATTCTTTTGGATGAGAAGCAGACAGGAGGAAGAATTATTTGGAAGTCCATTTCTTCATGCTTTAACTTTTTGCTCTTCATTTCTTTTGTCCTGACTTTCTTACTTACCTTCATTTGGAAGAAAAGGACTTTGAGTAAGTAGTGGCAGGAAGTACTTTTCTGCAATGCCAGCCTTTGCCTCTAAAGAGGCAAGCAGTAAATATTATAAACTTTTCAAGTTTCTGTGGCAAATTTTTTCACTTTGTCTTTGTCACAGAGCACACCCCCAAGGATGTATGTTAAGACATGGGCCAGGAAAAAAAAAACAAAGTGAAAAGACGAAACTTGAAATTTACTTTAAATGATCATCTGTGGGGAATAAAGTAGGACTAATTGAAATATGCAAATACACATGCCTATGTAAATCTGTAATAAATACTAGTGTCCCACAATTTCTTGTACAGTATCAAGTTCTTATCCTGAAATATTCTCAACCAGCTCCATACAATGATATATTGTGTCAGCCTCTTGCTAGGAAAGCTCTAATTCTGACCCTGATGCCTGCTTTAAAAGACTATTTTGCCAGATGCTGGTGGCTCACCTAGCCACTCAGTAGGCTGAGAGCTGAGGATCATGGTTCAAAGCCAGCTCAGGAAGAAAAGTACCTGTGTGACTCTTACTTTCAATTAGCCTCTCTGGAAGTGGTGCTGCTGTGGCTCAAAGTGGTAAAGCACTAGCCTTGATCAAAAGAGCTCAGGGACAGTGCCTAGGTCCTGAGTTCAAGCCCCATGACTGACAAAAATAAAAATAAAAAAGATTATCCTGTAGAGGGGTGGGACATGTCTACATGTCTGTAATCCCAGCTATTAAGGAGCAGAAATAGGATTGTGGCCCAAGGTGTCAGGACAAAACTCAAGACCCTATCTGAAGGCAAACTAAAAACAACGCGACTTGGTCATGGTTTAAGTGGTAGAGGTACTTGTCTAGCAAGCATGAGACTTTGAATTCAATCCCTAATATGTCAAAGTAATCCATCTATCTATCTATCTATCTGTCTGTCTGTCTGTCTGTCTGTCTGTCTGTCTGTCTGTCTGTCTGTCTACCTATCTATAAGTATATATGAGTATACACACATATGATTTACTTTGTCTTCTCACATTTGCCATATTGAAATACATATGGAGCCATTCTTTAAGTCTATGGCAGATTAATCTGCAATGTAAAAATATATTTAGGACTCTAGAGGGTGTTGGCACACTTTCAAGCAACGCAAATATGTATTCCTCAAGTCCTTAAAGAAAACACTGCTTTGCCATATTTTGGGAAACGCTAGTGAGAGCTTAGTTGCTTGTAACTCACAACTTCATACATCTTCCATGGGTATTAATCCAGGTTTAAAAATGAGATTTGCAAAGGTATTTTGCCATATTTGTCATAGAAATCACTCTCCATACTCCCCGGGTTACAAATGCAGATGCTAGAAACAGCATTTTGTCTGGTGTAAGGGACTTCTATAAGCTTAGTTCTAGGAAAATTGTGATCCTGCCGAGATTGGTGGATGTTTGGCATAATAGCAAATGAACTCACATCAAACATCACTTTCTCGTTCTTGTTCAAGAGGTCACAACTTGGAGCACTATGTTTCTTATATACTTTTCAAATACTCTGTTCAAACTTGTTTTCTAGATGCATACTTTCCCCAGTGGGCTGACAATTACCTTTACAAATATTTTTTTTTCTGGAAAAAGGCATGATACGCTTCTTGTATTTTTGTCTGAAAACATTTGCTTAATATAGCCAAATGTGTTTAAATGCAGGGACAAAGGAAGACCATTCTAAGTATAGATTTTCTGGAGAATAGTCTAGGAAATTGTTTTGATGTAGTTTATTCCAAAGGTTAAAATCCATTCTAGTTATTACTTCATGGTGAGAAGCTATTTAATCTCCTACACTGTAAATTGTGAAGAAAACAAAGTATATACACATATTATGTATGTACGTCTATGTATGTATATGCATATATTCCTTAATTCATTTGTTTATATTGGAAAAGGAACATGATAAATGTATTGAGTAAAGGAGTTGTTTAAATAGTACATGAGGATGAGTGAGAAATTGAAAGTAATGATCACATGGTCAACAGATTTACATCTTATCAAATGCTTATCTTATTAAAATATATGTGACAACTAATTGGATAGTTTGATTTGGAAAAGTAGCATGCACTTTTTTTTTCCCAAGGAAAAAAGTAGTTTTTTCAAGTCTTTTTCCATCTATGAAGCAGTCACATTTCTGTTATTTTGTTTTATCTCCCATTTGATGCTTAATTTTCTTTAGAAAAATAATACATTCACTTAGACAAGGTGTACTTCATGATTATATCTTTTCATAGGAATAATATAAAATAATCACTTGCTGATTTATAACTTTTTAGTCATTACATATTGATATAGTAATGATTTATATGTGACATATTACTACTTGTATTAGTTTCTGATTATATGTTCTTATTTATATATTTATAGGTAGCGTGAACTTGGTGTATTGTTTTTAATAAAAATTATAGTTTCTATATAAGTATTGATTTTCACTCTTTTTTTTGTTGTTGGTTGCGGGGCCTGAACTCTGGACTTGGGCACTGTCCCTGCACTCTTCAGCTCAAGGCGAGCAATCTACCGCTTGAGCCACAGCACCACTTCTGGTTTTCTAGTAGTTTATTGGTGATAACAGACTTTCCTGCTTGGGCTGGCTTTGAACCATGATCCTCAGATCTCAGCCTCCTGAGTAGGTAGGATTACAGACGTGAGCCACCGGTGCCCAGAGACTTCATTATTTCTATATCAAAATATTTTGTTTACATGTATTGCTTAATATAAATTGAAATATGAAATAAAATATTTTGAATTGTCTTATAGACTATCTTCTCACCGATGATTCTGAGCTGAGATGGATTCTTTTAATTAATGCAGAATAAAATCCAGATGCATTTCCCTAAACATTTCAGAATATTTTTACTTTTCTGTGGCATAATTTTTACTGGTCAATGTCTCATCATTTATGGCTGATTTGTTTTCATGGCATTAACTTTCCTTTACCTTAAATAATTATAGAATATACTATTATATTGTATACTCTTCAAAAAAGTCTATCTGTTGATATTTGAATAAAACTTTTAAAGTTACTTTTTCTTAGTCTAATGACATTTAACTATGTTCACATATTAGTCTTTTTATTTGCTTTGTCAAATTTAAATGTATGCTTATTCTTCAATTAAAAGTAAACTACTGATAGAACAATTGGTCTTCTTAATATTGTAATATCAGTTTCCCAACTGCAAGAAAATTTTCAGTCATGGTATAGTTAAAACAGTGTCTTTATTTTAGCAAGCATTATAGATCATCTGTTCAGTAAACTACAAAAAGAAAGATCAATATATATTCTGGTAGAATTGATCTAGATTCTCTCTATGTATATATAGACATGTAGATCTATATCTACATATCTATATATAGAGAGAGAGATATCTATCTATATCTATATCTAATACTGATTATCTACCTTTTCCACTTACTTCTTGACAGCTTGCTTTTTACCACTTGAATCACATTTCTACTTCTGTTTTTTGCTGGTTAATTGGAAATAAGAATCTATGTCCATGTAGTTTGGCTTCAGCTTGATCCTCAGATCTCAGCCTCCTATGTTAAAAATTATAGATGTGATTACTGGCATGTGTGGTTTTTAAGAGAAATGATGAGTATATTGCATTCCTGATTGGTAAAATATTTCTATTTTAATTATTTGTAATCTCTCAATTCCCCCCCCCCCCCCGCATTGATCATCTGGGGATGGTGGAAAATAAATTATCCCATTCCTACTAATCTACTTTGTCTCTTCCAGAACTGAATCTGGCTAAAGAGAATGAATGACCTCTCTCTAACAAGCAAAGCGTCCCTATCACAGAAATCAAGGATATTAACAACTAGCCCTTTTCCTCTTTCTGTTTACTTACAGGCAGTTTAGCTCCCTGTCTTTACAAGTTTCCTGACCATACCCTGAGTCATGGCTTTCCACCCCTGCACCAGCCTCTCCTGTCAGAGGACCCCACAAGCACGGAATTCAAGCAGGAACTCAGGCGGAAAAGTAAACTGGTTGAAGAGCCAATAGACATGGATTCTCCAGAAATTCGAGAACTTGAAAAGTTTGCCAATGAATTTAAAGTGAGAAGAATTAAGTTAGGTATGCATTTGTTTAGAGCAATGGGTCAACTCCTTAGCTTTCCCGTCCTTATTCTATCAACTGTGAAATCCTTTATATTGTTCTGAAGTCCAAGTCTCTGCTCATTCTGCCTTTCTACTGTGGCTTTAAATCGGTCAAATGAAAAAAACCTGCACAATCCTGTTTTCTTTGTAAATTCTTAATAGGCTAAAACCTAGACTTTTTAAATCACTGATACTTGAAAAATACATCTACCTTAAGATTACTTCAGGAGTGTCCTTTTGTATTTATCTGAACTTTTGAGTAGATAGTCCATTCATAGTATTCAAAAATATGGAAGGATATAAATGGTATCTCATCTGCTTATCTTTCGTGATTAAGAATACTGTTCAGTTCCTTGCATTTTTCCAGATATTTTATGCAAATATAAGCAAATGCAGAATTCGTTTCTACAGATACATATGTGGAGACTTTTCAGATTACCTAGAGCTCCTTTTCTTTTTATTTTGTGCTGGTTGAGGGGCTTCAATTCAGGGCCTGGGCATTGTCCTGGAACTTTTGTGTTCAAGGCTAGACCTCTACCATAGCTCCACTTCCTATTTTTTTCTTTTTTTCTTAGTGTTTAATTGGAGGAAAAAGTCTCACAGGTTTTCCTGCCTGTACTGGATTCAAACCATAATCCTCATATCTTAATCTCCTTAGTAGCTCTGATTGCAGACAGAAGACAGTGGTGCTTGGTTTAGAGCTTTTTTTTTTCTTTTTCGTTTTTTTCTTTCTTTATTTCCTTTCTTTTTTTCCTTCCTTCCTTCCTTCCTTCCTTCCTTCCTTCCTTCCTTCCTTCCTTCCTTCCTTCCTTCCTTCCTTCCTTTCTTCCTTCTTCCCTTCCTTCCTTCCTTTTTCTTTTTTCTGTTTGTGTGGTACTGAGGAATCAAACCCAGGGCTTTATGCATGCTCGGCAAGCACTCTACCACTAGGCCACATTCCCTTTTCCTTAAATGGATCTTTTAACTTCCACTTTATGAATATAACTTATTTAACCTGTTTTCTGGTGTGGTTTCTACTCTTTTAGTGATAAAAATTCCATAATGATTAACCTTAGAATTATTATTCTGTACTTAAATGAACATGTACAAGAAAAATGTTAGAAGAAAAATTGTTAATCTAAGATTGCATTGCTGTTAAATTAGTCTCTGCCAAAACCATCCCAGCTTTTACTCCACTACATTGTCTCTATTGCTCCTCTCAAAATATGGTTTATATTTTGTTTTGTTTTTATAGTGTTGGGGCTTGAACTCTGGGGCCTGGGCGCTGTCCCTGAGCTCTTCAGTTCAAGGCTAGTGCCACTTCTGGTTTTCGGGTGGTTTATTGGAGATAAGAGTCTCATGGACTTTCCTGCCCAGGCTGGCTTTGAACTGTGATTCTCAGATCCCAGCCTCCTGAGTAGCTAGGATTACAGGCGTGAGCCACCAGAGTCCAGCTACAATATGGCTTTATGTTATTGATTTCTTCTTGACTCCTAATGATCTGTCTCTAGCATTTTGAGAAGTGACTGTTATTTATCTTTTGGATCTTTTAAGTCAGAGAAATCAAGAGACAGCCATATAGTTTTATTTAAAATTGTATTACATTTTTGTTTTAAATTATTTTAAGTGAGGAGGCCCCTTTTATATGATCAGAGACTATTTGTATCTCCTTTTCTGCCAGCTGTTATTCCACATTCATTTCTCATTTTCTATTGAAAATATTCTTAATATAAATAGAACAATTAACTGTTTTTAAAATTCACGAAATAATATATTTGAAAGAATGGATTGGTTGAAATAATAATTCAAACTTGTGAATTTGTGGAATGAACTATAGGTAATTTTATTGTATTTATTGATGGGTATCGTATATAGTCAATTTATTCATACAGGTATATAGCCCTAGGCCTTATAATGATTTGTAGTTTCTATTTGTCAGAAGCACAGAAAACAGTCATCATAATAACATTCATATTGAGTTTTCTATTTATATTGGTGTAAATGTTTCAAATGATATGTTGATAGTTTATTTCTGTTTCTTCTCTAGAAAGGTTTGAGGTAATCAATAACATTTTGCCTAAAGATCAAAGCATTACCTAATAATATAGTAAATTTGTTTGGAGGTATGCATAAAATGTGTGCTCGTAGGCTCACATATAAAACATGATTTTAGGGAATGTAGGTGTGATTACTAGTTTTACTTGATATCTTTCAAATATAGGGTTGAAATATTCACTCTTACAGTTGAAGTATAAATATCTCTGATATCTCACAATGTATTTTGTGCATTGTGCTTGAAGTAGTAAATATTCGGAGCATATATTGTCAGATATTTAATAATTATGATAAAAGCCTTAAATTTCTCATATAACACATCTATCCAACTTGAGAGTATATGATTATTTTCCCATCTGAATTCTTTTGACTTCTAGAAAAAAGTAATTTATTAATAAGAAGAAATGTTTTCAATGTACTTCACAATATTATTCTGAATATCACCAACTGCAAACTACTAACAGTAAAGCTTTCTAAAAAGTAATCACTGACAGGGAATGATATATAGATTGTTGTGATAATGGATCAAAACCTGTTGCTTTGTAAAAAGCCAGAGCCAAGGACCCTTCTCGGCCCTTCACAGGATACACCCAAACCAACGTTGGCGAAGCATTGGCAGCAGTGCATGGCTCTGAGTTCAGTCAAACCACCATCTGCCGATTTGAAAACCTGCAGCTCAGCTTTAAAAATGCCTGCAAACTAAAAGCAATATTATCCAAGTGGCTGGAGGAAGCAGAACAAGTAGGAGGTAACAAAGCAAGTCACTGCCATGATCTAGCCTACAAATAATTAACTTGATTGATAGAATTCAAGCTAAAGCGAGAGGTTTGAGGTTTTACCCTATTTTCACCTCTGAGATAAAAAAAGAAATATATTGTCTGAGCATTCTAAACTAAGAAAAGACAACCAATGAAAAGCTGGTGTACAAATAAGTTTACTGAGGACAGACTAACCTCTGTAGGAAAAGTTTTCTAGATAATACAGCTTCAGCATATGCTTGAACTCTGGAGCTTTGCTCTTCCTTGGCTTTATCTCAAGTCTGCCACTCTGCCAATTAAACTATACTTCCATGCCAACCATCTTGCTGGTTAATTGAAGATAAGAGTCTCTTGGATTTGTTTACTTGGGCTGGCTTTGTACCTCAATTCTTAGATAGTAACGTCTTTAATAGATATAAATACAGGCATGAGCTACCTAATGCCTGGCTGTATAATTAAAGTGTTTTGTGGTGTGTGTGTGTTTGTATGTGTGTGTGTTTGTGTATGAGTGTGTGTGTGTGTTTGCGCGCGCGCATGTGTAGGTTGGGTATTAAACCCAGGACCACAGGCACATAAGTTAAGCATTCTACCACTGAACCCACATTTATTTTTCCTCTGTTATTCTTTATTAATTGTACCTAAATCACTTTTCCAACCTAATATCAGAATACAAACTGTATTTGTACACCAGACTTCTAAATAAATACATAAATAACAGAAGGAATTGCTATGAGAAATTTAATAGACTAAAAGTATCCATCCACAAGGATGTCTAGGTTGGATAAGTAAAGAGCATAGTCTGACAGCATTTACCACAAGTATTCTAACCAAAGTGTAATCAGGAGGTTTAGTGGAAAATTATCTTTGAAAGTTAATGTTTAGTTTTATGGTTAGTATTATTAAATGTTCTAGACTGAAAAAACTAAGAAATATGTAATAATTTATTTTGCCTTTTTCAATACAGGAAATTTGAAATAAAAGATGATAGTCTAAAATATATATTCTCTTCCATATTTACAGCTTTGTACAATGAAAAAGTAGGAGCAAATGAAAGAAAAAGAAAACGGAGAACAACAATAAGGTATTTAGTGCTGTGTCCTTCAACTTGCTAGAGAAAGAAATATTTTACAAACAGAATCAGCATTTGCATATAAATATAACATACCATGCATGTAAGGTGAGAGAGTGGACTGAAGAATCTTAATTTAAGCAAGATGTGGTGGTTGCAGACCTGTAACCTCAGCACTTGGAAGTTGAAAGTGTGAGGATAATGACTTTGACAGTCCAGCAAGAACCTGTTTTCAAACAAACAAACAAACAAAAGCATAATTCTAAAACTCAATAGTGAGAAACAAGGAACTAGTCATTGAAACTTATGTCTTGTTTGATTCAAAAGCATTCTGGTTCCAGAAGTTTTAGATAAAAGCATACACTACCTCTCAACTTATCCCTCAGCCCTTCTGCGTTGGTCATTTTACAGATAGGGTCTCATGTTTCTTGGCATCCTTGCACCAACATTCTCCTAACCTGTGCCTTCTGAATAGCTGAAATTTTACAGGCTTACATCACCACATCCACCTTGTTCTTTGAGACAGGGTCTTACTCACTTTCTGGTGATAGGTGATGTGGGCCAGCTGGCCTCAAACCATGATCTTCCTCTGCCTCCAAAGAACCTGGGATTACAAACATGGGTCACTCTGCTAAAAGTTACCATCCCTGATGTTGTTTTGATGTTAAGATCTTCCTCAGGAAATATAACACTTAACTAAAAATGACAAAATGATTCAACTATTCAGTCTCTTAAAGTCCAGCCAAACTCTGACATTTCAACACATTGCTGATCTTTGTGTATTTTTAGTATGTGCTCATGAGAAATGCTACAAGGTAAGTTTTGTTTTGGTTAGCTGTTCCTTAAACATTCTCTCTAAGGATTTGGGGGACTGGAAGGTCCCAGCCAATTGGTGGGTGTAGGCTCTGTTTAGAAAGGCCTAGAAATGCATTCATTTCCTTTATTAAGAACTTGGTGCCCTCTTGTGGCACAAGGGGAAATACACATAGAAAACCTTGGTCCCTGGGATAAGGTAAACAAAGATCTGTGTAACAAATTGTGTATTTGTCTTTTGCAAGTGTTCTTCATAATTCTTAAGTTTGGTTTTCATGCCAATATTTAATAAATAAAACCATTTTGTTTTTCAAACAACATCAAAATTTCACCCCATCTTCACCCATCCCCCACAGTATTGCAGCTAAAGATGCCCTGGAGAGACATTTTGGAGAACAGAATAAACCTTCTTCTCAAGAGATCATGCGGATGGCTGAAGAACTGAATCTGGAGAAAGAAGTAGTAAGAGTTTGGTTTTGCAATCGAAGGCAGAGAGAGAAACGAGTGAAAACAAGTTTGAACCAAGGTCTCTTTTCCATATCAAAGGAACATCTTGACTGCAGATAAGATTTTTTTTCTAGTTGTCTTTTTCTTTCTTTCCTCTTTTGCAACAAAAAGCAGAAATGTTACTGGTTTCTTTTAAAATTATTTTAAAACAATATTCTCTACAGTTTGGTTTGTTTTTCCTTTTAAAAAATCCAATAACAAAGTGGCACTGTAGCTCAAGTGGTAGAGCACTAGCCTTGAGCTGAAGAGCTAAGGGACAGCGCTCAGGCCCAGAGTTCAAGTCCCATGACCGACAAAAAAAAAAAAAAAAAATCCAGTAACAGTGCTGGGAGGGTGGCTCAGTGGTAGAGTGCTTTCCTTGCATGCATGAGGCCCTGGGTTTGATTCCTCATCACCACATAAGCAAAAAAAGCCAAAAGTGGCTCAGTGGCTCAAGTGATAGAGTGCTAGCTTTGAGCTGAAGAGCTGAGGGACAGCACCCATGCCCAGTGTTCAGGCCCTCGGACCGGGGAAAAAAAAATCCAGTAATATAGATTAATTTTATCTATCTATCTATCTATCTATCTATCATCTGTCTGTCTGTCTGTCTGTCTGGCTGGCTGGCTGGCTGGCTGGCTTGCGAATCCTTCAGTCCTTTAGTGTGTATACAACAACAAGGAAATGATCTGATTAGTTTTCTGTTATTTCTTTAGAGCCTAGAAATGTATTTGGTCATAGTAGGTATGGAAATCCTTGTAAATTGAATGAAAAAGAATATTGCTAACAATAAAGGGTGCTGTCTTATTTAAAAACAGCATCTATTTTGGAAATTTTATTTAGAAGACTGTAAAAACCTTATTAGTGTAAAAAAACTTTTTAGTGTAATTGGTCAGAATTTGATTTATTAATAATAAAGTAAGATATACTGAGCTTTCAATCCTGGGAATTATATCCAAAAGAAGAAAATTAATTTAGAAGAGTGAGCTCTAAAACTTTCAAGTAGAAGCAAACTGAGATAAAACAAATACTTATTTTTTTTCATTTTTGAATGTAAGTCTGATGGCAGTTAAATTTATTTTAAACCTCAAGTGAAATTTTATTAAGAATGCCGATTAAATATACTCCCCATAATTTTATTTTAATATTATTTAGCACTTAAGCATATGGCATATCATAATCTATTTAGATAGCTATGTATGTGCACACATAATCACCATCAACTTTGACCTTTTACTAATATAGATGTCATCAAAAAGATAGCCTGAAGAAAAACTGAAGCACATTTTGCATCTAAGAAGAGTATTTTTCTTTGTTAAAAAGCCCTAGTCCTGGGGCTCTAACTCAGGGCCTGGGCACTGTCCCAGAGCTTCTTTTGCATAAAGGCTAGTGCTCTACCACTTGAGCCACAGCTTCATGTCTGGCATTTTGGGTAGTTTAGTGGAGATAAAAATGTTACAGACTTTCTGCCTAGGCTGGCTTCAAACCATGATCCTCAGATCTCAGCCTCCTGAGTAGTTAGGATTGCCGGCGTGAGACACCAGTACCCGGGCTTAGAAGTACTTTTATTTAGAAGTAAAGTCCAAACTATTCTGCTATACATGTTTAAGTATACTTTTTATGTAACTCAGTATTTCTTTATCCGATTAAAACATACTAAGGGATTCTTTAGTTTCCAAAAGCAGGATCAATATACACATAAATATATATATATATATATATATATATATTTATGTGCTTGCACATATGTGTTGTATACACATAAATATACAAAATTGCATGAATGTAGGTCAAAAACCTCTACATAAGAGCATAATTCAATACTATTAAAATTTAGATCAATGGCAGGCTCCAGTGACTAATGCCTGTAATTCTAGCTTCTCAGGAGGCTGAGAGATCTGTGGATCACAGTTCAAAGGCAGGAAAGTTGTAAGACTCTTATCTCAAATTAACTACCAAAAAGCCAGAAGAAGTATGGCTTGGTGATAGTGTGCCAGACTTGAGCAAAACAACTCAGAACAACCAGGCTCTAAATTCAAGCTGCAGTAACACACACACACACACACACACACACACACACACAGAGCTCTTCTGCTATCATGACTCATGCAAAAAAATCCATATACTTAGATAACTATATAAATATTTAGATCAAAATCATAATTTCATCTACAGGTTACTTTTATTACCAGCCTTTGGAACCATTTTTTCTCTTTAAAAGGACTTACCTTCAATGAGTACTTAATACTGAAAGAGCATTTAATTGTTCCTAAGTTAGTGACAGATGCATTAGCTTTTGCTATTAGCTCATTTGTATTAGTAAGTTTTAAGAAAAGTTTCAAACTATATTAAAAAAGTATTTTATTAGCTCTTCACCTTTTAAAACAATAGAGAAGGGTTTATGTTATTTAGAATCCTAAGCTAAGGAGTCTTGTAGCTAAGGAAATGACAAATGTAAATTATTGTTGTAACATCTGTGTATTGTACATGTGGAATAAACATCAAAGGTTGCTTTTATCTGATTTGTACATTTTATGTCCTATGAGCTCTTCAAGGGGTCTTTCAAAATTTGTAGTGTCCTCCATTAGAATGGAAAGATTATTGATCACTGAGAAGTTACCGACAAACTCATTTCTATAATTTCCCTTTCCACTTTTAATGAACAGGTGTGTTTAGTCAAAGAAATATTTTCAATATTAGGGGATGGGTGTGTGTTCAAGTTCAGGGTATGTGTTGGGTAATTCAAATCAAGACTTCACAATTGTAGTCTTTTGTTCCTTTTAAAGAAAACAACTTATTTTAAAATTAAGGTTAGAAAAATCATTTTTATGTCTCCTTATAGAATCAATTTCTACAAGACAAATTGAGAAATTATCTTTCTTCAGCTGAGAAAAGTTTTGTGCAAAGTAATCCAAGAGCATCAATGGAGAAAGCCATTAGAGGTCTTTGAGATTGGGAATACTTTTTTCAGCTTGGATTTGTACAGTTATTTTGGAGACACAGTCTCACAAACTTTTCTTCCCAGGCTGGCTTTGCAATACTCAGGATTTTAGCCTCCTGAATAGCAAGGATTATAGGATACTATAATCCAACATTGATCCAGGCATAAATCTTGTTTTAATATAAGAGTATGTTAACATAACAGTAACATATTTAAAGTAGACCCTTTGGGGTCAGGCAAGAGAAATGTGTTACTGGTAGAGAACATACATTTGCCCATAGCAAGGCATAAATTCCTAGAATGCTCAATGCAAGTAAGAAGATATTATTGTGCAAGTCAAATTACATGATGCCCATATAGTGCCAGCTTCCTCCCTCTGATCTATCAGGTCTTATTTATAGTCCCAAAGGAACTCTTACTTTTAGTGATGGACCGGGTAGCATTATAAACTTACAATGATCATAAATCTGCCAGACAAAGCATTTTTTGAATGTAGCCAAATCAAAGGACTCTACTCTCTTTGGGATCCAAAAGTATCCACACATCACTGAAATAACCATTAAAACTAAAACCTGAAAATGTTTAATCTTTGGAAACTCAGGAAAGGAATTATCAGATCACAATTCAATGTGACTAGTTACTAGACTAAATTAATTCACAATCATGGCTCCTCTATTGATTTTTAACTCACAACAATACTTTTTCTTGTTAAAATAAAAGCAGTTCTCTGTTTTCCCCTCTAGAATAATAACAAAAGAATTCTTTTAAAAATTACAAAAATGAGGTATGGTTAGCCACTAGGGAGTCTCATGGCTAAAGGTCACCATAGTGAAAGCATGGCGACTCATACCTGTCATTCCAGCTACAGAGGTGTAAGAGAACCATGGTTTAGACTGGCCTGGGAATAAATGCTATTTAGTTATCCCAAAAATAACTAAAAGCAGAAAGGGCTAATGTGGTACACTGCCTGCCTAGCAAAGTACCAGGCTCTGAATTCAAAGCCCTTACCAAAAAACGAAGTAAAAAGTCAGGTATAAATCTTGCAATTTTTAGAAGGCAAAATCAGAATAAAAGAGATTAAAAAAAAAAGAAAGGGGACAGCCATAATAAAATTTTATTGAATTTTTTAACAAAATATTTCTTTGGGAGTATTTGTTTTTTAACAAAGCCCCTTTATGTATAAAGGTAAGACTGTAAGAATGTAAGAAATGTAAATAAATAAGGTAAGATGGCATTTTTCTAGGCATCCAAGATCAAACCATGTCCTGGAACAACATCCTGTATTAAAGTGTTTTCACTTATCCCTGTAAAGGGAATGTATACTTAAGACTATCAATAACGGTAACTAGTTTTTGAACACAAATTCTAAACTAGATGCCTTGGCTCACTCCAACCTTCCGTGTCACACATATTTCAGTCCTAAAATGTATGATTTTTCCAACGTAAGTACAAAAATGCCAATGTTCAAATTAACCAGAACACTTGTGATCCTCCAGAATTCTCTTGGTGAGATGAGTCAGGATTCATATGTTGCAACATAGTTTTCTAAACTAACATAATTCTGAAGTTTATTTCTAACTTTTCTGGTATCTTTTATTTTATTCTCCCTATTCATAACATAACATAGCAACTTTACCTTCAACAATGTTGCTAATACAGTAATATACATTTAAGCAGTAATTTCTGACAAAGTTGTAGTTTATTTAGCAAAAAAAAGGTGTTTATTTAAAAATTTCCATCAAGTATTGTCATTAGTAGTAGTAATTAAGAATAATGGTGCAATTTAAAGAGAATAAGATGTACATTAATACAACTCAAAATTACATTGTTATTATCTCTCATATGAAAAAAAAATCTCAGTTCTTGGAAGAAAGACCAAAAATACAGTTTCAGTTCAGTAAATTATTACCAATGCAGGGATTCTGTCTTTGTTTTTTTGGTCTGTTTTTACTAATCGTGTTCAACACATTTTATAAGCTTTACAAGAAAGCCTAGATAATTTAAGAAGCTTCAATTTTAGCTTATAAGGTATTTCTTTTCTGCCCGTTAAAATAATTTAAAGATGTGCACAATATGTTTGTATTATTTAAGGCAGGTGCCAAGCACATTTTGAAAGGTAATAAACTTACCAACTAGAATGTTC